TGCAGACAGGAATAGGCTGCTTACTGGAAGGAAAGAAAACCCTAAACTGACCCATGCTGTTATGTTTATTATTTGAACAGTTTAAATTCAGTGTTGCAAGAATATATGATCATTTTATTCACTAGAAATGCAATGATATTGCCTACAGACCGATTGCATCATAGGGGAAGGCCAGGGGGCTATATTTATTCTTCTGATTCTCTGAGTTCTCTTCTGTATAAATGCTGTGAACATCTGTGTCCATTTTCTATCTCTGCAGAAATTTTATTACCTCCAGAGAAGCTCATCTCTGGGATCCTGTGTCTTGTCTGGTTTGCTTTATTGGTTACCTTGGTGATAATGACCAGAATTGCCTTTCCATGTAAGCATGCTTTTGATAAATTATAAAGGAGGTTTCGTCTTTAATGATGACATATCTTTCATTGATTCTTCCTAGTGAGGAAAATGCTTTTAATTTCAAGTACATATGTGGATTAAATTTGAAATTTTTATTCTAATTTTGTCAAAATTAAAAAGGAGAGGGGCATTATAATGTTTGCTTTAAAATATATAAATTATGATTATACAATTTAACAACATGCTATATAATATTTAATTGAGAAATATACCAGTTTTGAAAGTGTTTTTGTCACCCTATGGGTTGTCTTATAAAAATGCTAGAATTTAGGAATATATTGAAATAATTCTTACCAGAGCTTTTATCATATTAGTCAAATCATAGACATTGCAATAGTATTTTGTGTTATTCTAATTCAAATAGCACATAAATTTTAAACTAAGAGATTAAAATTGATATAATTACTTTAAATGTCAAATATAATAAGAATTACATTAACCCTCCAAACACTAAAGAAGCAAACCCACCCATTGCTAATTACAAGTTAGAAACGTACACTTTGCTTGTCAATGTTATGATGATTGACAATAATCTTTCTTCACCATTTTCCTTTACTAAGTAAATTTACTAAGAATTACTTTAACTCTGCAGATACTGAACCAAAGGAGCAGATCCAATCTTCCCTGAACAAAAGTCCAAAAGGTACACTTTGCTTGTCAAAGTTCTGATGCTTGTACACAACATATTTTGTGTTTTACTTAAGCCAGACCAAGATAATGATGTATTTATAGGAGGAGAATGATCGAATATAAAACTATGGGCCAGAGGTTGCTACTATGCTTGAGTATGTTTGAGTCTGCATTTTGTTTTCTAAGGACAAGCATCTGGAGTTCATAGGTATAGTTTATACATGGATGCTCCAAAATATGCAAACATAAATTAACTTTCATTATTAAATTCCTGTTGCTTCTAGATAATAATCATTCTTCAGCACAGCCTTGTAGTTCTTGTCCAAAGGAGTGGATGTCGTATTCCCACAGTTGTTATTACATTAGTGGGGAGAAAAAAAATTGGACTGACAGTTTGGTGTCCTGCAACGCCAAAAACTCTAGTCTGCTTTACATAGATAGTCGAGAGGAGCAGGTAAGAGTTGCCGTGTGTCAATCATTGCTTAACCTTTTTTCCTGTCGGTATGATGTGTGTGGAGTAGATTCAAATTCCTACACATGTTTCATGTATTTACAACTCTTTATACCATTTCATTGCTTTATTTTAGAACATTTTATCTATATTTGTATACTGATAGTGAATACTTATTTCCAGATAGTTCTTATTTGATGAAAACCATTCTTGTATAAGTGCATTTACTCTGAAATTAACTTTGCCATTTAATTTTACCATACACAAAAGTACCTATATGTGTACGAGAGATAATATTGATTAGAACGTGAACAGGTGGAGGCAATCATGGATGAAAACTAGGCAGAAATA